ACTGTCTTGGAACAGCACAGACACAATTCTACACACACCAACGAACCCTTACTCAGAGGCCACCCTTTTATAAAGGCCACTTTGGCCCAGGCTCCTGAGTGGATGCCTGTAAGTAATTTTCCGCAACCCTGTGCCATCTTGAAACCTTTAAGAGGAAATCCTCTTACAGGCTAAGACTGGAACCTTTAAGACAACACGGTGCTACAGGCTAAGACGAGGTAGAATGTCGTGCATCAGAAGTTTCCACAAACAGTTTTACCAGCTGGAACCAACAGGGTCAAGTCAGCTGGCATACATGCCTGCACCACGTGTATTCTAGACTGCATCTGGAGCCTTATAGATTCCTCTGTCCATTCATAGACATAACACATGCGTCTGATATACGTAAGCTCAACATGCCGAAGCATTGCTCCCGCAAACATTGCGCAAGAATGTGTCAGGCACTCAGCACTAGGGAAGCAGGAGGGGTTACAATATAATAATAATAATCCTTGCATTTGATATAGCTCCTTGTCACGTCTTCGAGACGTCTCAAAGCGCTTCACAGAATATACTGCAAAGTGAATTGACTGTATAGTTTGTGGGCGAAACGCGGCGGCCAATCGCGCACAAGTCGTGGATTGAATTTACCATTATTATTTTTTTTTGAAGGAATTATTACCCCCGGAAAAGCGATCCGCCGATCGACTAACAACTGGGTTCCTGCCATTTGCCAACTCCTGCTGTAAATCTGTAAGTTACTCCCCAGCAGTGCTGAGCTGCAACATACCAGGCAGCTTCCAGATTCAATCTGTGCTCAGCTGATGTCAGCTTTAAGACATCCTCCTGACGTGAATGGCGCTGTACAAATATAATTTGTTGTTGTCGACGACAGCTTTGGCATTAAGATCGAGTGAGTGATCTTGAGCCAAGGAGAGAGAGAGAGAGAGAGACAGGATTTCCAATCCCGATTCCTATCCAACAGTGAGTTACATGTGGGCGTGAGATAAGAACAGGATTGAGCGTCTCTCTCTGTGCTGAATATAACCACTGTTCCGTCTCATCCAGGAAGAGAGGACAATTGGACAAGGGACTCCCACCTGGCGGAGTCAGTACTTTCAGGAGAGAAGACGGTTTCTGAGAATTCTCTCCAAAGTGAGTCACCCTTGCTTGACGATGGGAAGATCCTTTTTTTTCCTTCTTTTGTGGCTGATTTGCTTCCCCCTCCTCACCTCTGGCTCCTGTTGCTCTTTGGCAACTCACCCTAGCAGCCATTCTCCATGCGACAGACGACAGACCGTGAGTGTCAGCGGGCCATTTAGTCAGCAGGAGCCACCAGAGCCTAACTCGACCCTGTTCCTCACGGACCAACAACTCGCATTTATACAGCTCCCTTCACGTAGCGTAGCATCCCGCAGCGCTTGACAGTAGCGGAGTCTGACAAGGAGCCGGGGGGGGGGGGGGGGGGAGAGGGAAGGGGGGAGGTCACTGTCAGCATGATCAAACAGGTCTTTAGGCGGGATTTGAAGGTGGGGGGTCGAGGGGGCCAGGCGGAGGGTTCGAGGGGCAATTAGGAGGCCGGAGCACGGCTGAGTGGAGGCAGCGGGTAGTGGAATGGAGTGTAAGCAGGTCCGATAGGTAGGGAGGTGCGAGGGAATGAAGTGATTTGAACACCCACAAGTACAGCCACTTCCCAGAAGCGCCTCACTGTGTAGCAATCAGAAGCAGAAACCGGGTCTGATTGCATTCCCCCTTCACAGCCCAGTGGGCAATCAGGCCACTCGCAAAAGGTGCTGGGGATGGGATCAGCTCACTCAGCACGGGTCATGATAGACCCGGCAAGCAGGAGGACTAGTGATTTACCAGGTTATACCTTTACGCACAAGGCCATGGGGGTGGAGAGCAGAGGGGAGGAGACACCTGGGAACAAGTTGCAGCACGGATTACTTTGCAAACTGTTTTGGTTTCTTTGTGGGGGAGTGAGAGGTGGCTCAGAGTACAGAACGTACGGAATCTTGGGTGTGGTGATGATAATAATAATCCTTGTGTTTGATATAGAACCTTATTATAATAATAATAATAATAATAATAATCCTTGCATTTGATATAGCGCTTTTCACGTCAGGAGGACGTCCCAAAGCGCTTCACAGAACACACTGTAAAGTGAATTGACTGTATATTTGTGGGCGAACGCGGCAGCCAATTGCGCACAGCAATGTCCCACAAACAGTCGTAGATTTAAAATGACCAATTTATTATTGTTTTGGAGGGATTATTATTAGGCTCTGTGTGGAGTAAGGAAACTTGCCCAAGGTTTCGCCCTCTGCCTGGAATTGAACTCAGGTCTCTCACTTGTAAAGCGAGTGCTCTAACCACTGAGCTACAGGACTCCACAAATTATGTCATTATCACTTGTTATTGTTATCATTATCATTATGGTTATCCTTATCACATCATTGAGACATCTCAAAGCGCTTCATAGAGTATAACATAAAGTATATATATTTATATGTATATATATATATACTGGTTTTAACACTACCATATCGAGTGACTGTGTGTGTGTATATATGTGTGTATGTATGTGTGTCTGTGTGTGTACACAGCATTTCATTTTGTATTTCTAGCTGCTTGTCTGCGGAGGTTGCCATCTATTCTCTATATCGACGCCCGCCTCCTTACTGAAATTACTCATTTAGCAGAATAGCTTTTAACCTGAAGGAAGAACGAGCATGTTATTTTGGATTATGATCCCTCACTCGCAGGTCGCTTTACACTCTGATTTTCTAATGGCAGCAATTTGGAAAGTAATGTATTACCAGGTAATGTGTGTTTTTTTTAAAACAAACGCTGATGAGTACATTCCACAATGAAGTGCTGGCTGGCTGGCGGGGCAGTGTTAATTAAGTTCCTAATGTCTCAGCTAAAACAACTGCAGCAATTATACTTGCGCTGAATATCCAGATAGAAAACCAGGGGACTCCCAAATGAGCCACAGAAATTGAACACAGCCCCAATGCGAGCCCCGACCACACCTCGGTTCCAGTCTGCCCCCCAAACATGGGGTGTCCCCTGGTTACGCCAAACATGGGGTGTTCCGAGAAGGGAATTTCTCCTGCCATCCCGGCTGATAATCCTCCCCGATAAAATTGGTTCAGTCGCGGTTTGTGGGACGTTGCTGTGCGCAAATGGGCTGCCAACGTTCGCTCACAAAATACAGTCGCTGCAAATTGCGAAAGGCTTTGAGACGTCCGACAGCTGATGGACAGCTGTATCAAATGCGAGGATTATTACTCGTGATGATTATCAGCGCTTCGCATGAATAATCCCAACCATTTTACTTATACACGGAGCCCCGATTACGCGTAAAAGAAAGGCGAAAAGAGGAACAGCTGAACAATGTTACGAAACAGACCTAGTTCGAAAATAAACTGGCACGCAGAAAGGCAAAAGCACAAGACAAGTCCTTTAGTGTTGAGAAACCATGAGCGAGGTCGCTCCTCCGAGGCACTCAAATGGGATGGTGATGGGGGGATGGGGATTGGGGAAGAGTTGAACGAGACAGAATAAAAATAAATGTCACAAGGTCTGGTGCTGTTCTCCTGCAATAAGCAGGTTGTGAGCAAGTCAGAGAAATATTCCGCCCTAGGTGTTTTCACGTCCTACCACAGTAGAAAGCGAATTATCAACGCAGCATTTTACGTGTTGCTTTTCGGTGAACACCACATCCTGAAGCTCTTAATTAAAAAAACAAAACCGAGCTGGTTTGGGAGAGAGAGCGCCACGGAGCTGGGAAGGTATTGCCACGAATAAACAAAACGAAAACACATTCACGGGAGCGCATGAATTCCGTCGGGCAAACTCTCTCTAGAATTGCACGCCAAAAGCAAGCCACGCTACCCATACACAAACGCATGGCGTTGGCGGATTCCCTGTTGGGATTTGGCAGCTGCGCATTAAGCAGCAAAGTCGAGTACATGTGTCCTAGCAAGAGCTTCGCAAGGCAAAAAAAAAAACCCAAACAAAACACACGACCCCTTGAATCTGAAGTCAAGAGATATCCAATTGTCGCACACAGACTGCTCCTTGCACCGTCCGACAAAGGAAATGTTCCTCGATCGGTAACTGCGTTTATACAAACCAAAATGACCTTTCATACCACTTGCCATTTGTCAAACTGGTCGCCCGAGTTCATCCCAAAGCGACAACAATAAACACCCCCCCACCCCACCGCAAACTCTAACCATCACCACCCCTCCATAAGGTACCCACTCTTGCCTCGATCCCAATTTGGTTTGCTCTAAGGCAAGAATTTTACATGGTTACATTTCCACGTGTGTCCGGGTCACGTTTTATAAGTAGATACAGCTCAACACTCACAATAAAAGTGTGTGTGGTGTGTGTGTGTGTGGTGGGGGAGTGGGGGGGTTGGGGAAGAGGGGGGTGGGAATGTTAAGAAGATTTGATACTTTTTATAAGGACACAACAGCAAATCTATATAAGAATATGAATTCAGCGTGAAGTGCTCCCAGCCCACCAGCAAGGAAAAAACCTAGCGACGTCTCGGAATTCATTCAATAAAGTTTGTCTAAAAAATGTGATTCCCCTCGTTCAGAGGAAGGAGGAGGCTGTCACACCAAGTAAGCGTGGCAATGCTCATTAAGATACAATACTGGCTCAACTGGGAATAGAGATGGATAGGGAGAGGCGATTAGATGGGTGTACCAGAGAAATTTACGACACAGAAGAAGGCAGTTCAGCCCACGTGGAGTGGAAACTACCGGCATGGAGCACATGAGCTGAACGGCAAGTTTTAGTGCCAATGCCTTCCAACAACGCTCATTACTCTTTGCTCTCTCAGCTTTCGCCCCTTTCTAGGTCTTAGCAGTATCGTGTACGTCTGTAATTATTGCCCAGGGAGTTACGCGATCTACCGAAATACAGCCCCTCCACTCGTCAGCGGTCTTAAGTTTTCGGTCAGCAAACGGAATGAAAAAAAAAGGTTTCCACTTTAGCCATACCTGGATGTATCTCAAGGCACTCCGTAAAACACTTAGGTTTGATGTTTTCTTATCATCCAGATTGGGGATGTTCTTTTTCAACGTTTCAAAACATTCTTTTAAATGCGCACGCCTGCATAAATGTCAAAGAAACATCCTGTCAGACCCCAGGAACTCGAGGGGGGGGGTGGGGGGAGTGGGTGGAGGGGGGTGTGTGAAGGTGGTGAAAAAGAAAATTGGAACAGGAAACAGCTTCCTGCCCAATCGATTCCGTACGTACCTGTTCTTCTCCAGTTTATTGTGCACTTCTCGCGTACCAGCTCTGGAATAGAAAAGAACAGAACTATTCACTCGCTAATCTACGCTAACAACTTTCACCCAACAAAATGCAAGGGGTGGGGGCGTAAAGACACGTCGACACATTTGAAATGCACGGCCTTCACACACACACACACACACACACACACACACACCCCCAAACATCCCTCTACTTTTCCCAAAATGTTCATTATCCTTTGCTCTCTCAGCTCTGAACCCATTCAATGATGGTTAAGTAGGTCTGCATGTCTATTCTATTTCAAGGTCTGATTTTGGCCACATCATGTTATTCCGCCTACACTGTACCATTGTACTTGCAGCAATCATTAAAAAAAACTGCTCCTTTCATGTAAACCTCCCACAGTTTCTTATTCTGCAAACAAACCATGAGCAGATTGATCTGACAGCGTTGCTTCGCTGGAGAAGTAAACCAATCGTCTTCATAGATTCACAGTCATTGCTACCCAATTACTGTATAAACCCCAGTTGGCCAACTGAGAACTGGCTGAAAACTTACTTACTCCCTGACGAGATGGCAGCTCAAAGATCAGACGAGGAGCGGGAAATGAACCCCGGTATTTTAATACAAGCTGCCGTACTGTTTGGTCGTGTCACGTACCCGCCCGGCCCACCCCACCATCAGCAGACAGGCCTTCAGCCTCTCTGCCCTCACCCTTTGGAACTCCATCTCACATTCCCTTCGCCTCGCTCCCTCCCCCACCTCCTTCAAGCCACGTCTCAAGACCCTCCTCTTCAATTGCGCCTCTGGTTACCCTCCTACCCCTACCCACCTGCCCTCTACACCCCTCCCCCGATCCCAACCCCCTGCTCAGATCCAAATCCCTGATTGTCCAGAGCCTTGGGATGTTCTCCCAACATGAAAGGCGCTGCACAAGTGCAATTTGTTGTTGTTGTAGTCTTTGACTTGAGAGAGATAAGCAATTTGCAAAGTGTGCATCAGTGCAAGAACATTACTCCTGGTGGAGCGATGAGCAGTTCTGCACTACTGGCCGAAGCCGGGAATTATTCGGGAGCTGGAATCCTCCCCGGTTTTCTTCTGAACATTAACAAATTGTAATACTGAAATACAGCACCATCGCTAAAAGCCTCACTGCCGGGCTGACTGACAGCCCACCAGGAAGAGGAAGTTTGTGTGCACATCACGTCGTCTGGAAACCGCTTCCGCACCGGTTATCCACAGGCGGAAAGTCTTGTCTCCACAGTGCTGTTACTGTCCTGATCCTCCTCCTCTGTGCAGATGCAGCTTTGAGAACCGTTTAGTGGTGAGATCAGGAGTAACACGGGCATATTTTTACAACTGAAATTGATACGCACTTCTCCGCGATGGCTCAACCTGTGGACATGGTGTCACATTCACCACGATGACAATGACCACAAAACACACGGACACTCCACTCACTTTACATTAAATCCTGTGAAGCGCTCTGGGACACTATCCTGCACGAGGGGTGCTATATAAATGTAAGCTGTTGTTGTTGTTGAGGCTCTTTGAGATGTCCTCCCCACCTGAAGTGAGTGCACTACGTCAAATGTAAGGATTAATTACTATTAATATAGTTTTTAAAAAAATATGAGCAGGTTTATTATGCAAAAGGCATTCACTGATTGATTAATTCCGACAAATTTCTCTGGACCAAAAATCAAGTGGAATAAAACAAAACTATTTTACAATATTTAATCATAACTGGTGTGTGGACTTATCTTCGCTAGATCAGTTGGTGAGAAACGAGGTGGGTGGGCGGGGAAGAAATATTCACAAGTTAAACTGTGACCAAGTACTCGCTCCTTGAAAGTGCGCACTTACTGCAGACAAATAAGGCAAGAATGTGCGTTTATAGGCTCACAGATTGCACACAAACACGTCTGTTCGTAAAGAAAACTAGGCAATCTAGTAAGTTTCAATAACTCCCTCTCACCCCCCGCCTCCCACCCCCCCACCACACCCCCCACACATACACTCACAGGATTCCCACTGACACTCAAAAGGATTTCTGCCTTGCAAGCCAAAAATGCCTGACCACCGCCATCATCGCCATCATCACCACCACCACCACTATTAGCCCTTAACCGCAATCGTCAATAAAATAGAAAATCAAATCATTTTAAAACCGACCGGTGGTTAAGCTCCGAGTGTATAATAGTGAGTAGAGTTGACACACACCCTCCAGGCCTTCTCTTTTGATCCTGTGACTTTCCATCGTCCGTGGGTGATGGCTTAAAGCTACCGGTCTGTTGTGATTGCGTTGGCTGCTGCTGGATGACGTGTTGCGATGGGATCGTCAGCACCGATGTGGGGAAGTGCTGGGACGAGCTGCTTAACGGAGCCTGGCCAGTCTTGGGGACAACCAGAGTGGAGACTGGTGACCTCTGGAGCACGGTGGGACAGTGGGGGATCTCCTTGGTGCTGTTGCTGGGGCTTGGTACTGTCTGATGACGGCATGGGCCGATCTGGGGCAGCAGAGGAGCGGGTGCCAGGTGAGGGGCGACCATGTGGGAGACCACCACCATCGCGGGTGCGGGAGGGGGAGGGGGAGGCGGAGGAGGTGCCGGCACAGCTCGGAGTTCGGGTTTGACTTCTTCTACGTAGAAGACGTTGTTCGGTCTCTCGGATTCCGTTTTCCTCCGGTCGGGTTCTCTCTCCAAAAGCAGCTTCTCCCTCTTCTCATTTTCCTCTGCAAGTTCAAAAAGCACGTCGAGAATTAGTGCGGCAACAGATTCTGTGACTGATAATCTATTCCTGGTTATTTCCTCCCTCTCTCTCTCTCCCCCCTTCCCCCCCTCCCCAAACCCCAGCCTTATTCTCGGACTTATGAGAGTGTCAAAAATCTAAACTCTTTGACAAGGTCACAGTGTTTGATCGCCTTTGTGTTCAGGTGGGGACATAAGAATTTGCTCGGCGAAAGAAATTAGACCGAGGTCCATCTAGTTCGCCTTCCGCCATCCTGACGGTCGTATATACATGTCGTGTCCTAAACTATAACCTCTATCCCCAGATATTATTTCCTAACGGAAACCTATATAATTTGTTCTTGAAAGGATCACTGTACGTGTCATGTTCCCCTTCGGAATATTCACTATTAGGCAAAGCAAGGGAAAGCGTTTACTGCAATAAATGATTCTGACATGGAATCTGGGCGGAAATATACTGTAGTTATTAGCACTTGGATCCAGGTGGGTGTTTAAAAAACAAAATGATTCAAAGGCGATGATTCCATAAGGTACACGTGAAGAATTGTAAATCTGTGGTCTGGCTTCCTTTACGCAGTGGCACCCGTTTCACTGTGGGAAAGATATCCCAAAGAATGTAACACTCACACACTACAATATCCATTCAATTGGAAACACGGGAAGTTTCCAATGTGCGGCCTACATATAGGGAACGCTGCAGACTGGTTTGGATACTCTTAAATCCCAGTAATGGGTTTCTTGTGTGCCATCTCCGTCTCTCTCGCTCCCCCTGCAAGCGTGCGAGCGTGTTTGATATTAACTGAGGACAGGACATTGGTTTGGCTGTGGTTCCCCACTGTGGATTAACCTACATAATGCTCATAGTCCCGTACATGGTGTTTAGCTCACTTGCCCTGCAAGCGAGATTTGATTCCCAGGTAGGGTGAAACCTCAGGCAATTTTTCTTACTTCACACACCGAGATGATTAACGCATCACTTTCTGAAGGTTTGTGGTAACACGTTTTGTCCACAAAATACACAGTCAATCCACTTTACCATATGTGTAGCGGGTTGAGATGTCTCAGCAACATGATAAGGCACTATATAAAATGCAAGGATTAATTGTTACCCAATCATTTGTCCTTAAAAACCCCAAATCATCTATTTTAATGTATTGATAGATCAGCTCCACATTTTCATCGTGGTCTCCCTCCCGAATTTTCTACCTTGCTGTCTGGTGTATTATTTTATATATTAATAAACCACAACAATAACAACTTGCATTTATATAGTGCCCTTCACGCTGGATGAAAATACAACCTTTTCTTAAACACAGCAAATACTGGGCTGTTTATAGACACAAAACAATGCCCGTGGGAAAAACTTATCATTCCTCATCTTATATTAGTCATTTCAACATTGTGGCGTTGTTCATTAGTTTTACCACAGGCCAGCAATCATGTGATGTTCCCCTAAATGCTCCAACTCTCAGTAATTTATTTACAGTGTCAGGGTTCGACTTTGGATACAAACTACAGCATTTTATAATTAATATATTGCAGAGTCATGTTTCAGGTCTCCTGTCCCGGTGGTGGGGGCTGTCAGTGATTTTCCAGTCAGGAAAAATTAAGTGAAATAAACCTAATATTTCTTCCAAGTTAAGGGGTTATTTTGAAAGCATTTTTCTCCACACAAATTTGTCCTCTAAACTACAGCTAAACTAGATCTGAGAGTTGCTTTGTTAAATCCAAGTACAAGTGGTTGTTTAGCACTTGTCATTGACAATAGCTTAACTTATTAATGTGCGTGATGGGTGGGGTGGGAGAGAAATGACCCAGTATTGACACTAAATTATCTTTACACTTGGTATAGCACCTTTCTAGTTGTGAGAATGTCTCAAAAGCTTTCACAGGATATACTGTGTAGTGACTGTGTGTTTTGTGGGTAAACATAGCAAATGTCCCTCAAACAGCCATGGAACTAACTGCCACAAATGACTTGACCACAGTACTCCAGAGCCAAAACACATGGCTTCCCCTGGCCTGTGGAACAATGTCCTTCGTCGACTGGCGGATCGCTTTCCGGGGGTAATAAGCCCTCCAACAAACAAAATGCAGTCACTCAATCCACGACTGTTTGTGGGACACTGCTCTGTGCAATTGGCTGCCGTGCTTCGGCCACAGAATACACAGTCGCTCCACTCCACGGTGTAACCTGTGAAGCGCTTTGAGAGGTCTCAACGAGGTGATCAGGTGCTGTGTCAAATGCAAGGATTTTTTTAAATTACAATTGGGCTTTTCAGTCCTTCCAACTCAACGCGACGAGTGCAGGGAAACGAATGCAAATGACGGCGTTCAGTCACTGCGGTTATTTTCCCCTTGAAAAAGAAACTGAAAGGCGATGTGGTTGACTTTTTGGTGGTTGTATTGTTTGTGAAACAATCATGTGACTGATCTGGGCACAGACATGACAGCATGAACTTTCCCCTTCTCTACAGTACAGAACTGAGATGCCTTAACAATAAGTACATGTCCTCTCTTTCCTTCACACCACCCCACCCCCCCATATCCCTCCCACCCACCTCTTCCCGAACTCTAAATTTCCAGCAGGCGGATATTTTACGGGAAGACTAATGTAAATACCGGCCCGACATGCCGGTGGTCTGAGACTTTCCAATCTGTTAGCAGATGCGCATGTTAAAGGCACTTTCTAAGTTTCTGGTCTATGTCACTGGATAATGATGTGGGGTGGGGGTGTGGGTGGGGGGGGAAGAGGTCACTTCACCCCACCCCAGGGGGAGACAGCACAAACCTGTGAATTTTTGCCCCCTCCCCGCGCTATTACACCTCGGATCCACCGGGCAGGGTCTCAGTGTCAAGGCCGCACCTGGAATCCGCTCTGATATAGTCACGATCGCAGTGCAAAGAGCGGCAACAACAAGCCCAACTGTGCCAATCCATCGAGACCCACCCAAACACCAGGCCAGGCATCGGAGCAGGGAAAAGAGGGAGGCGGGGAAGAACAGGACTGCAACCAGGGAGGAGGAAGGAAGAGTGATCAGAAAATTCTACTGTAAGGAGAGAGTGTACAATAAGGCTTGAACACGGCCCCAGGAGCCACGATCCCAGGTACTGAGCAAATGCAGAGCTGGATCAACCCCTACATCACATCAGGCGGACAGACCCGCTGAGGTGCCGCACATCAGGGGAACCCGGTGGACCTCCGCAGGCCCACACCAGAGATAATTGGGAAAGCGCCATCTTAAAATGTCAGAACTGCCAACGTTTCACTGCAGGGACTCAGCGGGAAAGCAGGATTACGGTAAGGGGAACAGGCACCGAATATCTCACAAACAGCGAGTTCATTCAAATCGCTCCGGTACGACTTCCTTACTCCGGGCGGGTATCAGACGATGAGGTACGGATCGGCCATGGTCCAATATGGACTGGTGGAACAGGCTCGAAGGGCTGATTGGTCTGCTCCTGCGTTTGGATGAGGTGGGTCTGTTCCTAGATTTCTGAATCCATCCGAATGCCGGAGTGTTTGGCTCAGACTTTTCCGCTGGTCAGAACCAGGGGTGCCGTTGCTGGGAAATGGGATTTTAAAAAAAACACACACACACATCGCCGCTTCGACAGCATCTCGCAGTCTCCGCTAAAAGCAAAGCCGCAAAAATCAAGATATAATCTTGTGGCAGAGTCACAGCTGGTTCCTCTCTCTTCCCCCCACCTTTCCTACCCCATCTGCACAGCTCTGACGCTCAAGTGACGCTGGACAGAGACACAGAGCAGGCAAGTCTTCCCGGAAACCTGCCTCCAACTAAGGGCACGGACAAGAGAACCAGGTTGTTGGCAGCCAACCCACCATCAGTGTCAGCCAGACGTTAAAAAAAAATCCCGTGGTGCTATTCGAAAAGAGAAAGGAGTTTCTCCCTGGTCTCCTGACCAACAATAACAATAATAATATTAATAATCCTTGCATTTGATACAGCTGCTTATCACATCGTTGAGACGTCTCAAATGGCTCCACAGGATACAGCGTAAAGTGGATCGACTGTGTATTTTGTGGGCGATAAAATTGTTCAATCACCTCTTGGGACATTGCTATGCCCAAATTGGCTGCCCCATTTTTCCTAAGACACAGTCACTACACTTAACAGCAACTACCGTGAGACACTTCGACGACAGAGGAGATATATCAAATACAAGGATTATTATTCGTAATTGTCTTTCTCCAATAGTGCAAAAGAATTGCAAACTCAAAAGCTAAGCTGACAGGGGTGTAAAGGGCTATTTTGAAACGAATTACCAAATTACACATTCTGAGATATTTGAAGACATTTAACGTTTGTGATTTGATGAAAAAGGCACACAAGAGAAACGCTATTGAAATGTGACAACTGCTAAAAATTAATAAGGAATCGAGAAAAGCTCCTCATTCAATAAAAATTTAATTCACAACAATCCGTTCCCCCATCCTGTTCTGACGGCTACAAACCAATTTGGGTCACGGAACAAAATTATTCTTCAGAATATTTTCTTGACAGTAACGTCAAGGTGTTTTTGCGCTGAAGTGAAAGCTGAAAATATGGAACCTTAATGGAGAATATCATTTTAAAATTTGCATTCGATACAGCGCCTTATCCCTCTGTTAAAACTTCTCCAAACCGTTCGCAGGATTTATTGCAAAGCGTAGTGACTGTGCATTTGTAGGCAAATGAGACAGCCAATTTGGTGGGAGAGAAACAGCCATGAAGTGAATGGCCAACGGTAGCCGGATGTTTGTTGGGAGAAACAACTGGGAGAAACTACTCCTCTCTTTGAATAGTGCCCTGGGATCTTCACAACACCCACAGGCAGCCCAGACCTCGGTTCAACATCTCACCCAAAGGACGGCACACCTCCCACAGCTCACAGTGCAGCACACCTTCAGCCCTGCGCTCGAGATTCAACCGAGGCTGTGAACTCAATTCCCGACCCACCGTTCGAGCCCACGACCTTCTGA